ACTTCTGACAGGGTCAAATGGAATGTCCTTTGTGATCACGGCTGAACATTTACCCTCATACACCAGTCTGGATCATTCCATTTATTAAATCTATACTTTCAATATCACATTAAGTACTTATTTTTAATTAGGTGAGGTATTAAATTCTTATTTTCAACTGTACCTATTTCAAGTGATAAAGTTCTACACATGTTCTCTTGTCTTTTTTAAGGAAAAATTCTCTTATTTATCTAAAACTCTTTCTAGTAGTTCTTTCTGTCAACTCTGTAGTTATTCTAGAAATTTGGTTCTTGGTGAAAAATACCATTTTACTTTACCATATCATTTATTTTTATGAGACTTTGATTCTATCTTCTTTCAGACATCATCTTTTGAGATCAAGGAAGAATAATTAGGTACAGGAAATCTAGTCTAAGAAAGTAGATTTTCTTACAGAGGCCAGACACACAGTAATAATTGGGATTGCTGTCAGCATCATAACAGCACAAGCAGGCAAGACCTCTTAATATCTGAAGAACTGATGCAATAAAAGAAAGGCATCATACATATCATGAAGTATAGTGGAAATTAGCATAGACAAATCCTAGAATTATTTTAAAAATGCATTTGGCAGGCCAAAATTTAAATAGTAACCAATCACTAACTGAAATTAATGTTAGCTTCTCCTAATTATCAGGCAGTTGCCCTAGTCTACTGTAATATTAAAGTAAAGAAAACCTGGAAAATAAAAATGGGCCCTTGATGCAGGCAAGATCCATCAGTAATTGTTTTTCAAACAAAGAATAATTCTATGTTGTACCATAGTCTAAGTGATCTTAGATGTTACTCATAAAGGAAGTTACAATAAATAATGTAATAATTCAGGGGGGGAATAATAAATGAGCCTCTGCCATTTTAGCAAAATCACAAAAATAAGAACGTTTTCCGAATGAAATGTTAAGAGAATTACTTATTTTACACAAGTGATACTGGATGGCACTGTTACTAGCCTCAAGGAAACAAAACAAGTTCAAAACTAAGTTAAAGACAACTTTATTACAATACTTTTTCAAATTTCAAAATGCATTTATTACTGGATTTAGATCTAATATATAATACATTATATTACAAGGCAGAAAGCATTTATGGTCAGATATTTCAGCTTCCATGTATTGCCCAAAAGACAGTTTGCTAGGAATAGCAGCAATGCACAGTAGTTTATATTACTAAGTAAAATATTTTGCCGATGTCTCATGATCATTCATACTGCAATTTATTCCATGTTCTTTTCCTCTGACTTAAAAATAAAGCAAAGCTACCTTTTCTATATCTTACCAGTTAATGCCTAGAAACTGTATATACCCTAAAAACATCCACCAACTTAGAAACATTTCCTTTGGTAGAAAAAAAAAGATTTTTAAATCTAATTAAACCAAAAGGACACTGTATTTCCTCATTGCAAATAGGGGTACAACTCTCTTTTTCCTTTTTTAGGAACCAAATCTGAGCCTCATCCTCTTCATACAGCGATCTTGAATAGTACTCCTTTGGTAGAAAAAAAAAGATTTTTAAATCTAATTAAACCAAAAGGACACTGTATTTCCTTATTGCAAATAGGGGTACAACTCTCTTTTTCCTTTTTTAGGAACCAAATCTGAGCCTCATCCTCTTCATACAGCGATCTTGAATAGTACCTGCTTTAAAAGATACCTAAATCTACTTTTTTCTAATAAGGACTTCTCTGTTTAATCTTGCCTCCTCACATTTGCTTACTTAGAATAATTTACAACCAGCTTTGAACATCACATAATGACAAACTTAAAAGTAATCTTGGGAAATGTATTAACATAAAGGAAGCATTTTCCAAATTAGATAGGCCATTATTTGCTCATCCATCTCTTCTTCAAACAACCAACCACATTCACTTGGCAAAAATAATTCCTTTTCCAAGGTTACTACCCTAGTAACAGTGGAAACAGACAGAAATCCACTGAATAGATCTAGTCCCTTAATTTTCTTTCTTTGGTTTTACATTTGTGAGAGCTACTGACTAGTACACATATTCATCTTCCTCATTTTCACAACAGTAGGAAATTGTTAGAAAAGTATAGAAAAGATTCTATTTTTTCATAAGGCAAATATAACACAGATTTTGCTATGAAGTTGAAAAAAAAAAAAAGAATGAAAAGGTATGTGCTGGCTGCTTGGGAAGCAAGGCTCATAAATCACTGTACGTTAAGAGCACGTGCTGAAACTTCATGGTGCCAGTCACGTAATTTTGTGTATTTAGGACTAAAGACGTGAAGGGGTATCTTTTCCCTGTGGAAATAAAAAAAGAGTGATAGAAGAGTCATAAGAAAGAGAAAGAAGAAGAATCTACACTAATTCCATCATGCAGGAAACATGCCTTATAAAAGCTTAATTTCAGATAGCTGTTTTATTAAATAGCAAAGATTTTATGGGTAGAGCATTTTTAGAAATACATAAATTACTCTATAGAGCCCTCTTGGAAACATCTATTTTTTATGTCCAAAATAAAGTGACTGCAAGACAAGAGATGAATTCATTCAGAGGTATGTATTGTAAGCAAAGCACCCCAAAATATACCTTTCTTCCCACACTTATTTCAGTACTAAGTAAGCATTAGACACAAAATCCAGACAATATCTACTAATTTAAAAATCTGTAAGTCATACATTTAGAGCAACACAAAAGGCACCAAAGTTAAATGCTTAGCTTCTAAGTTGCAAAGACAAAATGCCATATCATTACACTGAAAAACCAAACTGAGATCATTCATTAAAGGAAAGCATTCAATTTATAAAAAAATGAAGTACTTACTTCGCCTTCTTTGTAGTATCAGTTTCAGACTCTTTCACTGAAACATAAGCAATATCTAATATTAGTTTGCTTTTTTAACCTCAACACCACTTAGGCAATTACCTGTATCAGTCAATACCAAATGTTCAAGTTTCACAGAGCTGCTAAAAAAAAAATTCTATACCATGCTGTTATTGGCTATATCCTATATATATATATAGTCAGTACAACTACTACTGCTGCTGCTGCTACTACTCTACAACTACTACTACTACTTCTACAGTTTTAAATATAACTCTCCTAGGCTGGTGTCTTATTTATAATACCTATATTATGCACAGCATAATTTAAAAGCAAACTGTCTCAGGGTTGTTTTCCAATAACTGCCAGTCACTCTAAAGGTTACTCTCAGTGGCAAAGAACACTCCTCCTTTAGGATCTCTAGAAGTTCACTTACGATGTTCAGTCCCAGTGATCTGGGCGAGGATTCGGAAAGAGCGAGACTGAGTTGTTCCAGTCCTTGGACGCCAGTCTTCAGTATCCTCAATCAGTCTCTTCTTGCTGGCATCACTATGAGTGGGTATGTGATAAAACTCTGTATTGCGCTCCATAATGTGTTTCCTTGGTGGGCTAGGGTAAGAAGAAAAAAAATTAAAAATTATAAAATTATATTAAAAGGATAAAATAACCTCTACTGAATTACTTATAATTTATACATTTAATACTCAATGTTCTTTTTGTTTGCTTTTACAAGGATACTTAGCCTCAATTTTTCTAAAAAAGCATCTTTCTTAAATAGACTGGTTTTTTTATTAGTAAAAAAAGATGTACTTATAATGTTAATACAAAATAATACTGTAAGAATGTATTTAACAGAAAGATTACCGTTTAGGTGGGGTTTTCCTTTTAATTGACAGAAGAAGGCAGCAGAAGAAAGATTTTCAACATGAAGAAAAGGAAAGGAAAAGGATAAGAAAAAAAGAAAATAACTAGAGAACGAAAAGTCCACAGCAGACAAAATCAAATTCAAAAGCAAATCTTGAAAGTACTTATTACATCATCCATCATATACGATATAAAACAGATATGAACTACATTCACAACCCCAGTTACATATCAGTATGCTGCTTTCACAGAATTAAATGATAGTATCTTCACAAGGCCCAGGAACCAAGAATAGCTTAGTACAGGCTAAACCTACAACTCCGAACACAATTTTGAAAATACTCTTATTTTCTACAGTTTTCTCATTCATATGTACAATATCCCTTATCCTAAATAAAGCTGCTGTGCACCATCAGCATAGTGAAGGAGAGCTGTGGTATATTAGAAACCACTGAGATATCTATCAAAAGACCAGGATTTAAATCTTGGCTCCATGACTTTTCACATGTGCGATTTTGGAAAAGTCAATCTCACTGAGCCTCATTTTTTTTTAATTTATAAGGGAAGGATATCACATACAAAATAGCATTGTTCTGAAGATTAAATGAAATAATGTATGTGAGACAGATTTTTAAAACTACAGTAACTTTGCTGAGAAAATTCATTTTTCTATTAACAGAGCATAAATATTAAGGAATTCACAATTTAAGATCTATTAAACATAATAAATACCCCCCTCCCTTTTCCCCCTCACGATAAGACAAATACAAACTTTTAGAGGCTATGAGTTTAACTCCAGAAGAAAAGAAAGAATACGAGTCTGGACTAACAGACTAGTCGTACAAGATCTGAGTAGAAAAAGTGCTCTAAATGTGGTCAGATATGGGTGGCAACTTGTGCTAGGTTTAACTCACAGCTAGATAATCAAAGTGCTATCAGCATGCCATGTGACTTGTCATTTTAATAGTTACACTATCAAAACTCTCAGTACACTGGAAGATTTTTTTCCCCAGTGAAGAACATGATAGAATTAAAATTAGTAACACCAGCTTTAGAATCAGAATGATAAGGTATCAAGCACTACATCCTCCTTGCATTTTTTGCAAGTCACTTAACCGTAAGTGACTTCTATAATATAGTCTAAATTTTCCCATTTGAGAAATGGGAATTGCATCTTAAAGGGTTGTTTTGAGGAATAAATAAGATAGATAATGTATGTAAAGTGCTTTCCACAGTATCCAACACATAGTGATGTATTCTATGATTACTAATAAATCATTTGCAATGCATGATCTAAGACTATGGGTCAGTCACCTGCACATATAAAACAGAATCCATAATATTTATACACAAAATAGTAAGACATTATAATTTATGGTAATATTTTTTGATCCCACAAGTGAAATATCTAAAAGAACTTTCACTAACATTGAAGAAAACATATTCCTTTTTAAAACCGACAAAACTTTCAAAAATTAGAAAATAGGCATAGATTACTTCATAAACATATTGCCTTTGGCAGATATAAAACAAACAACTCTTTACCTTATCCAAATACTTGAAAGAGTTTACATTCAGCTACAAAACTTACTACAGTTTTAAATTTCTCTACAATTAGTGAGTGTAGTTTACATTTAAACAGTACCAATTTCAAGTATAAGCCTATTTTATCTTCTATGAAAGGTTTGGTCTATAAAAACACAAAACAGTTGAATAAAGGTAAGACACACGGATAACAAAATGACACCTCTTTATAAGTGCTTTTAGCCATGACACACTTGCAAAAAGTATGGTACACCTTAGACTCTCTGCGTCATTTACCACAGCTTCAGGTCTTATGTTAAGTGATAGAAAATCTCTAAACATTTACTTAGTGATTTCTGGCTTTGAAACTCTATACTCTGGTGACTCTAAGATTAAAGAAAAGAACAGTTTCAATGATACCATTTTTAAAAATGTGTTTGGAATAGAATGTAAACAACTCAATCTAGTAACTAGACAAAGCCTTTGTGTATAAAAATTTAACTATAAATAGGCAAACAATAAATAAAGATTTGGAAATGTTTTACTAATATACTGATGTGCAATATTCCTATGTATATAAAACATAAAACTATCCAATTAGTAAGACCATAGCCATATGAAATAAAGTTGCTCTAATCATTCAATAGTTAATTCTCTTGGGTGTGTCCCAAGACAGATACTCCATATCTTATTTCTAATTCTGCTATATAATGTGATACTAAAGAAATTGTAGCACATGCTCAGAATAATCATAAGATAATGAATACAAAATTATTTTAAGTTCTCATCTAATGTGATTTTTATCTATTTTTAAAGCCCATTTTTATCTATTTCTAACTCCAGTACACAATATCCATAATGTTTATTTATTCTCCTTACTTATTATATCACCAGAAAGTTAGGTGTCAACACCAATGGAAAGACAGGGGAAAATTGTTCTATAGAGTGGTGAGGGGAAACAAGGGGAGAGTTGATTGATTTCAACCTAAAGATGCCAATTTGAATATGTCAAGCAAATATTTTCACATCTTTTAGAAAATGTGCCCACATGGAATAGTCAATCATACACAGCAGTGGCAAATGTGCCAGTGTGACAGCCAGATGATCATAGCTATGCTGCCTACTTCCCCCATGCCCTGGGTAAATTGCAATCTACAGAAGCTGCATTTTCTTCAACAGTGAAATGAGTAACAATTGCTCTTTCAGACTTCTTGTAAGAGTTTATGTTAAACTTATTTGAAGGCAATTTGAAAACTATACAAGCACAAGTTTGTTGTTAGGATAGATACCCCAACTGCTCAAAAAAATGTAGTTTCAAACCCAACTGTATAGTTTACGCACACCAATTCACTCATATAACCTCAATTCAACTCCATAATCATTAAAAGGAAATACTAATTCAAAGTAACAGAAATAAGCCCAAGTCACAAGCAGGTGATATAGAGGAAGGCACCATCAAAATTTGTCTTCAAAAGATCTAGGCAAATCTTAGCTCTAACATTTATAAAATGCATGACTTAAGAAAATTATGTAATCTTGTGGAATAACTATAAAGCATATTTACTTCACAGGGCCTGGTTTTCCAAAGCCTTGCAGTTTCAAATATTGACCTTGCGGAGGACTGGAAATTTTCCTCAGGCTATAAAGTCTCCGTTGCAAGATAAGAATTGTGGCACAGCAAGGTTGCTGGCTCAAGGACAGACAGGCTACTGATTGATATGGGAAGATACTGGAAAATTGCTGGAGGGAGAAGGAATGTTTGCTAAGATCAAGCTTTTGTTGATAGCCTTAATGGAATGTCATCCGGCTTGTTTCACTGAAAGTTACCAACCTATATTGTTAAACTATAACCCCAGCTATGTTCTCTTCTTGTAACTTCCTGGTCTAATGGGCCACATGTTAATAAAGCAAATAAAACTTCATTTCCCTTCCTTCAAAGAACAGCTGATTTTAGGGGTTTGTAGATTACATGTTTCCTGGAAATTACCTGAAAGAAGAGTTTTTATAAGAGCTGAAAGCACCCTTAGCCACCTACCCATTTTGCTGTTTACTGTCACCCTGGGATCCTCTTCTCTGTCCCTCTGCTAGCTCCTGAGCAGTCTCGGAACACACGCTGGTGACTGTGGGCTGCCGTGGGACATTAACTGCAGTTTTACCAGTGCTCAGTGCAGATGAACACTGGTCAGCACTAAGATTGGCATTAACATGCAGTCCAGATGCAGCGAATGGGGGAGGAGTGACAGCAGCCATGGGTGGAGGGGAAGCATGTGATGAAGTGGTCGCATGGGCTGGGGTGAAGGCAGACGATGGTGATGGGATGGATGTGACTTTTGGTGAAGAAACAGAACCAAAGGGCCGTGGTGCCTTATTGTAGGCCATGTTGGTTGTGGAAGTGACTTTGGACACAGCAGGAGATGTAATGGGCACAGGTTTAACTACTTCCTTAGGTTCTCCCTATATAAAATAAAAATAAACATACACAAAAACACACCAAATACATGCAAAATATATTCACTGGGAAGAACACATAGCTGATTTTTAAAAAGACAAACAATCATGTTAGCAGCTCAAATGTCACATGTTCCCAGACAGAAACAATGAGTTGATATAGTGTAACATGCATGCTAACTGGTCCCAACATGCATAACACAGATGCACACACTAAGTTTTTTTTTTAATAGAAATGAAAGCAGTTTCAAAATATTCAGGAAATACAGCAAGAAAACTATCAGAAAGCCTAAAAGCCATCATAATTGTCAATTTAGACTTGTTCCAAAGGAAATTTTTAAAAATATCCACAATAAATAAAACATTGCTAACTGAAATGATTTTAAAAATATCCAGAGCCTCACTTGTAACTCCATCTTCCAAACATGTTTCTCTCTAGAGTGTAATTACTTGATTCATACAGAAGCAGCAGCACATTTCTAACTCTTCAATTAAAAAAAAAAACATGGGGAATAAGATAATTTTCATCTAACTCGTAATAACTTCGTATAGCATACATTATACGAAGTTATACGATTATTTATTCTCCTTACTTATTATATCACCAGAAAGTTAGGTGTCAACACCAATGGAACACAAAAGCATGGCTTGAAAATTATACCGTAGTGGGCTTCCAGTCAAGATGGTGGAATAGACAGTCCCCAGTGTCACTCTCTCCCACAAATCAACAAATTTACTACAAATCAATCAATTTACAACTATTAAAAAGCAACAACAGCCAAGCTGGAGCCACTAGAGCTCAGAGGAAGAGGAGGAGAGACCTACAGAGTGCATGAAGGCAGGAGAAGCCACCAGGTGAGAATGAAAGGATCACTCCGACTGTTTCAAGCCCCGGCTGCTTCAAGGCTGGAGCTGCTGAGTGCATGGAGCACAAACTGGCAAAATCCACAGCTGTGCCCTTCCTATGAAATTGTTTGGAGGAAGCAGGAGAGAAGAGGGCCTTAGGGGCACTCAGGCCAGCAAGACCACTAACAGGGTTCCTGTGG